ACAGATCACCACCCCCACCTAAAACTGCTCCCCCAGTTTCTCCAACATCATTAAATGACAATTCGCTCAGCCCAAACCCTGGGTGGCATTCATGACCCCCTTTTTTTTTTTGTATCCCATATCCCACCAGTCAGTCAGCAGGTCCTGGGGCTATACTTTCCAAATGTACCCAGAATCTAACCCAGTGTCCCATTTCTACCCCATTACGTACCTATCACCAGGATCTTACAATAGCTTCTTAGTGGGACCCCTGCTTCCACCCTGGGTCCCAAGAGCTTATTCTCAACACAGCAGCCAGACAAGCCTTTTAAAACCTAACCCAGGCCCTGTCCCTCCCTTGTTCAAACGCTCCAGCAGCCTCCTCCTCACCTATGTGAAAGCCAAAAGCCTTACAATGGCCTTCACAACCTGCAAAGCTTGGCTCTGAACCGCTCTGGTCAATGCAACTCATCCTGGGCACCCCTGAGTATTCCCCAACACACCTGCAGCTTGAGCTCTTGCACCAGCTCTTCCCTGTGTATGGAAGGGCCTTCCCGTGTCTGCAGAACTTGCTCCCTCACCATCTTCAAGCCTTTACTTGAATGCCACTCTCTGTGCCACTGCCCATGACCACCCTATTAAAACTGCATACACAGCACACGCACAGTCGACATTCCCTGGCCTCTTTCCTGCTCTCATTTTCCCCCGCAGTCCTTATCCCCTTCTGACACACTATCTCACTATCCAGAGCTGTGTAGCCCAATACAGTAGATAATAGCCACATGTGGCTTTTAAACTTAAAGTAAAAACTCAGTTCCTCAGATCCACTGGCCATATTTTAAGTGCTCAGTAGCCATATGTGGTCAGCAGCCACAGTGCTGGACAGCACCAAGGGAGACCATTTTCATCATCCAACAAAGTTCTAGGGCACAGGGCTGCACCAGAAAGAAGGCTACACGGGAGCAGGTGTTTTCTGTCTGTTCCGTTTGATGCTGTCCCCGTGGAACCCAGGACAGGGTCTGGCCTGGATGCATCTGTGGAATGAGTCAACTGTTTCGTTACTGTCTGATAGGCCCCTCATTCCTGCCATCCACACTGTCCACAGGCAGGCCCACAGCCCTCTCCTGGACCTAGGAACCCCCAGCCATTTCTGACAGGCCACAGGGGCGACTCCTGGGCATGTGACTGTGGTGCTCAGATGTCATCCCACGCTGTTGCACATGGCTGTTTGTCTGTCTTCTTCTGACAACAGACAATGGGCTCATCAGAGTTCTCTCATTTCTTCTGAAACCACCTATCTACCGAATCCCGTACAGCAGCTCCTTCACAGAGGCTCTTGGAGTCAATGTGAAGACACCACATGACCAAGGCGAGCTGCTGCAAGTAAAGTACCCCACATGCAGCCCCACTCACAGAACCGGATGAACAATCAGCTCCGGGCTGTACGACTTGATCACAGGTGCGGCCTCTCGGGTACAGAACACGTGGGATAAATCTGCACCCTGAGAAACGAGTACAAGAGGCTGACTTAACGTGTGACTTGCTCAAAAGACACCCAATGTGGTTTCTGCAAGAGCCACTCACAAGACACGTGGCGTTCAACCATTCAAAGTACATGGAACTATCCGTAAAAGAAAAATATCCAACTGCAGCAATTAAACTATAGCTAGGAGGTTCAGGAGAAGGCGTAACATAAGAAAAGGCCTGGAAATAAAGGCATTTTGCTGCCACCTAAGAGGCATGTCACCCAGACCAGCTCAGGCTGCCTCACCTCTGAGGTTCACAGGAGGCAATGCAGCCACGGGACTGGGCACATTTCACATTAACTGCG